GAGACAGCAGACCTCAGTGAAACCAAGAGGTGCATGTTGATACGCTTTTGGTTTAAAGTCAAAACCAACAAAGCCTTGTTGAAATATGCATGGATGCAGTTCAAGAGGAAGAATGAATTGTCTTCGTCTGTCTCATTTAATCTTGTCCAGTTAATGTCTTCATCATCACACAGTGTGAAATAGGAAGGCAGGTGATGACTCTGCCTCCAGAGGCACCGATTCAGATAAACACTCAACACTGCTGCAGGTATCATACAACTCCCACGCATATTCATGTGCAGCACAACAGCGCTACGCTCCTTGGGGGTCAGCATATGGCTGCACATAATTTCTTCTGAGTCTCTAAAGTGGCCCTGAACATTTCTCATTAATGTGTCAATATGGTCCAACTTTTGCTGCACATAGGGGCCAACTGTATTTTTACTGTAAACTGACTGACTATACTAATATTGTCTCTTCTAGAACAATCACCGCAGTATCAGATTTGATTCATGAAAGCCATACTGCAGGAAAATCTCAATAGACACAGCAGACTCTTAAGATATTCTCTATTATTCCTCAATTCTGCGATAGGGGTATAAAAATACACTATTGGATCAAAGTATAGATATAAATAATATCACAATGCAAAGTGAAAACATTGATACATACTGTGATCTTTGAAGGTCTAGTGTGTATGATTCAGTGGCTTCTAGTTGTGAGGTTGCAGATTGAAACAAAACACGTGCCAAGCATTTAGGAAAACTACGGTGGCCGACAAGAAAACACAAACACTGGAATGGCCCTATCTAGAGCCAGTGTTTGGTCTGTCCATCCTGGGCCTCTGTAGAAACAACATGGTGGACTCAGTATAAGAGGAACTGCTCCATATTTAGATATAAAGAACTCATTCTAAGACACTGATGAAAACATAGTTATTGATGTCTATATTAGTGTATTATTGTATTCCTGCCAATATATCCCCCTACATCCTACACACTGGAACCTTGGAGATATGCCTTTATTTTGAAATTCTGTATCACCTATATCATCTGTATCACCATTTCCATCCAAGCACACTTTCTTTCTAAACATAGCAACAGTGCTAGCTAGGCCTCCAGCTAGTACACCAGGCGTAGTGGCCAAACAATTGAATTAAAACTTCCAAGTCCGTCACGTGATGCCATCGGACCCAAAAAGACTTTTTCCTATGGACTAACATTGTAAAAGAGATGTCTGTAAATCAGTTGATGTGTTATTTGAGCATCACAACCACTTTGTTTCACTATCAGGATTTGATCCATTTGGTCCAATAACATTTGGAAAGTCTAGAAGAACAGCAAGATTGAATCATTTTATTCCCAGCTCAGCCGGCAGATGTAGTGCGCCTAGTCTATGGGCCCGATGGTACGGTAGCTGTGCTGATCATTGTTTCTGGCTTCATGCTCCAACTTTCATAGGAATGAATGGCGTCCAGGAATGGTGTATGGTCTCATTATATATCTATGGTGCTAGCAGCCAAGTGCTTGACAGACTATGTCAAGCATCCAAGAAAAAGACACTGAAGACATCTCATTGATCGCAGGCGTCTGACTTGAAATGAATCGAAATCATGTTGCAGCAGACTTTGGGGAAACCAGCAAGTATTTTATCATTGTCCAAAGAACGCTATCATATTGTGATGAAACTTGTGATTTACACCCCTATTCAGCAACAGAAATATCTAGTGGCACTCCCCTTGGAGGGAGTTACAAAGCAGACCCTTCCCTCCACTGGTGCTACTTTTGATCACGCTCACTTTGCTAAGTTTTAATGTCACAAAGACCTGACGCCCTTGAAGTTCTGAATCTATACAAGAACATGCGTGACTGTAATCTATAAGCTCTGTGCAGTGATTCAGAAAAGGGGTTGTTTTTAGCTTGTAGACAAAGGCCTGCTCATTAAAAATGTCTGACTTTGATGGTGTGGAGGTGGCACAAGCCTAAAACAAAAGCTCACGCCTAAAAATAAAGATCTGCTTGGAGACCGCATTCGCTTGTCACTGCTCGGGCTTTGTGAAAGATCTATTGCTTTCACTCACATATCTGAGAAAGAATAAGACGCCGTTACCTAACGGATGATGTGGGTAATTAGTATTGTCTGTTCCCTATACGCTTACGTCAAAGACATGCATTGCTATGTTTGCTCTCCTCTGACTGTCAGTTGGCTTTAATAACAGGAAATGCTCTGCAACCTTTCCAAAAGCATCAACACCAGCAGCCTCCTCTTCGCTCCAGACCTTTCTTCACTTGAAATTAGGATGCAAGCAATTTCTTTGACTTAGTGGGAGGACACATGCCACTAAGCAGATGTTACCTGACAAACTGATGCTTGGGTATTTTAGTCTCTTCTCCACAATTTAATAAAGGTGAAAGGTGGGCTTATGAAACGTCAGACTGTTGTGGAAACATCAGCAGTATCACAGTGTCACAATTATGTGCCCACCCACTCACACTTACAGGAGGAGGAGGAGGAGCTTTAATCAGGAGGGTAGAGCCAGCAAGAGTGAGAAGAAAAGAGAGACAGGGGAGGAGAAGAAATCTGACCATAAATGCAGACAGTCTGCCATCTATTGGATAGATCACAAGGTGCAAGTTAGTGTCCTACATTTTGTTGTAGTGCTGTTTTGCAGCACTAGGTGGTGATGCAATCCACAAATTCATTCATTAATCATTTTGTCCATCATGGTAATTTTGAGGTGGTGGCATTTTGTCAGAGGGCAGAACATTATAAAATGAAAAATACCAATAGAAAGCAAACATTCACTGCAGATTTATGATGAAAGAAGTTTAGTTTTCATCTCCAGACACCTTGGTATAACAAGACAGGTCAGTGATTTCCCCATTTTAACATCTTTCATTCATAAAAAATGTACTAAATGAAATATAGCTTTCTTTCTCCCCTTTCAATTTAATTCAAAGCACACTAGGTTTTCTTCTCCACATAAGTGTTGTATATATAAGAAATGCCTTACCTTGCCTTTCCATAAATATACTGATAAATTCTTCATGAACCAAAAATTGTTCAAGTGTATTGTTAGACTGAAGAATAGTGAGCCAAGGAATGACACGTTCATAAGTTGTATCACGATTGCCATCATCATTACTAACAACCCTGGGGGATGTTGCCACTTTTGCAGTCTGGAAGATTAAACACTGTCGGGTGCACAGAGTTGGCTGGCAATGATTAAAGATTAGATTGCTTACACTCACAGCATGTTTTCAGTGGCAACAATATATCCCGTGAGACTGTAACAGACAAAGTGCTGAGCTTATTAGCATATGGTATAATGCTCTATTCAAAGTCCAAACAAGCGGTTGGAAGAAGTCCACAAAGCAAAGGGGAACGTGTCAACAGCACTGGTTTGACAGAAGAATGATGTGTGGTTATTACATCAGAGTACTGATTGTGCAAAACCCTGTAACATTTGACAAATTAGTATTTGTATAATTCCCTCAGTCAGTTTAAACATGCATACACACACATTACCGAACCCCACTGGGCATGTCAAGTCAAGTCAGCTTTATTTGACTCCTTAGTCACACAGTAACAGTCAATGAATTTCACCACACTTGCATTACGAGAACAATGACTGAGTAAAATACCAGGTGTCATCACGTCATCAGAGACTGATGACAGATCATGAATAACCAAAGCAGGTATTGCACATACTGCACACATGAAAGCTTGTTGTGAAACAATTTTTAGACAAACAGGTTATATATATTTCTTTAGGAACTGCCATTACATAGTTTTTGTGTATAGCTCTTGTACCACCTTTTCATTTTCATAACAAAAAAGCTTCATCTGTTTGTCCATAACCAGTCTGAAGACCATTTGTACGACAGTATACTGTGAAGCTGTGGAACTCTCTGGCTGAGGAACTTATAGGCTGTATTCGGTACCTTTTTTTAAATCCTCAAAACTTACTTTTACATGAAGCCTTTTTTTTAGTTATTAAAGTTATTAAATTTACAACTCTTGTTCCTAGTTGGGCTTTTACATGTAGATATAAAATGTTATTAAAAATATACAGTTTAAAACATCATACACCCACAATACACTATAAACATGGAAAGCACAATATAATACATAAACCACTATCTACACACTACGGTACACATACTACATCACAAATACCACAATATATACATCACAAAATATCTCACAATACATCTACTACAATAGACATGTCGCTATACACACACCACAATACATATACTAATGTACACATATGACAATACACCAATAGACTTACACTAATACCCCTTAATGAGTGTATTTAGCTGTAATCAGTTTGATTTCAGCTGGAAATACTAATAATAATTATTATTGTTGTTGTTGTTGTTGTTGTTATCCAGATTCACCTCTCCACAGTAGCTCACACTGGCCAGCAGTGAGTGTGTCCACCTGCATTCATTTGAAACTAAATGCTGCATTCATGAGCAATGAAGAACCCAATCAATTATATAGGCTTGTGCATGTGGTTACAATTTGAAATCCCTTCATTTTAATGTAGAAACACCAAGTATGAGAACTTCTTGTTTGAAATAAGGCATGTTTGAGTTAATATACTGAGCTGCACACACATTTATTCTGTCTTTTAGAAGAGTATAGTCCTCTCCAGATGTTATTTCAGGTCTACATTGCATGCCTGTGTAATCAAGTCTGATTTTATTATGTTTATGCCCATTCTTCTTTATTAACATTTCCCAGAGTTAACCAGCAGAGATGATGGGGGAGTGGAGATGAGCAAGGCTATTATCACCTGGATGATTATTTCTTGTACTGTTTGTCATGGCAACGCAACATTTTCTTATGTGTATCCTCAATCTTTAAATGCCATGTGTGAATGAAGCATAATGTTGAGGCCCGTTTGATAGTAAAGATGTCCCACCCCAGACGCAGGGACGTGCTGCCCCCTATCAGTAGTGACATGCCCCGCCCCGCCTATCAGCATCTCCAGTCAGTGTAGAGGAGCTGGGAGTCTGGAGGAGCAGGAGCAGGCAGCACAGACTTCAGCGGCTCCCGCGTTCGTCCGACACTTAGCTAGAGCTGCTCCCCAGGCAGTGGAGGTGATGATGGCGGCGGCTGTAGAGAGAGGAGGCGTCCGGGCCGCTTTCCTGAACCCGAGCAGCGGCGGCGGCGGTGGACCAGCACCGACAACCCTCCCGACCGGAGCGTTAGCCGGGGCTGTGTCCCTGGGCTCGGGCTCCGGCAGCATGCCTGTACCCATGAACCTCTTTGCGACCTGGGAGATAGACCGATCATCCCCAAGCTGCGTGCCGAGGTAACGATAACAATGTGTTGTGTTAGCGTTAAATACCGCAAACCACAATGTTTACAAATCACTAAACGGCTTAATAAACATCAGGCTAACAGTGGACAAACAACGCCCTCGCTGACTGTAGCGTTAGGCGAGAGAGGCGAGCTGCCACACATTTCCAAAACACTGCTGGGTTGGTTTACTAGCAAGCTAACTAGCAAGGTGGCTAATGCTAAAGCTAACTAGCAACTAGCGCTGGTGTTCGAGTTCCTTTTATGTTTCGTGCTGAAAACATTTAACTCAAAATGCTATTTTTTCAGCAACGAAGCAGTCGGCTATAACGTGCAAAGCTACATTATTTTAGGTACAAAAATATTTAAGACCTACTCCCCATGTTTGTAATTGTTTTCTTTACAGTTGTACTGAATTTTTACTCCGACCGTTATGATAACTAGCTAGCGTTAACAAAAGTTGAGCTAACTATCGGTTGGAGCTGTTGGTGTTGCTTATCTTCTGCTCTGTGGCTACGTTGGTAAAGCTTTGTAGATATTACATTTCCCTTTGTCCATGCAGGCCTGTGCTTGAACTGATTTACGGAATGCATGCCACCTTATAGCACCATAACTGTCTATAAATACAGTGACATGAATGCCTCATCGCCTCATAACTAGCAGTCATCCTTTTCATCCTGTAGCTACGAGCACCGTGTGTCAGCTGTCCGAGCAAATGGGCAGTTCCAACAGCTGGCTGGCCATTTGAAATCCACATTGATTTCATGTTCATGTGTTCGTGCTGTGTTTTATGTTTATGTTCAGATACTCCTGTGTAGCTCAGCGTTGGCTAACCGGTCCACACAGCCACAACACAAACACCAGCACTTCATAGTGTTGACACAGCAGCTGGCACAAGGAGAGAGCAAACTGTTTTGGTTGTCGCTTTTGTGTATGCAAATATACTCGCAGCCATTGTCTTGATGTTATTTCGATGGCACCGTTTAAATCCGAGTATAGCAGTAATATTCTGTGATACTCTGCATCAGTATTCATTGTCAGTGAGCAGGCACTGCTGCTGCCACCTGACCAGAAACCTCTCGGGAGCTGTGGGCACATTAATCAGCTTTGACCTAGATCTGTTCCACTCATTGGAAGAGAAGTGGGCTTTGCAAGGGGAGGGTTTACTCCACAGTCGATGTGCATGTGTGTGTTTGCCTGCTGCCACTTTAGTGTCTGCATGAATATGCAAGTGTCAGTGGAGCTATAGCATGCAGAAAACATGGGTGATTTATAGTGATGGCGATCTTTCAAGTCTCTGTTTGAATATTAGTCTGTTTTATCTGTGGCAACTCAGCGTATTTGAAGCCAACTAGTGTGAGTGTTTGAAGTGACAACGTTGCTCTGTAAATCAACAGCTCACAACCCTTTTTATTATGGTTCCTTTTCTGAAAATATCATTCCAGCGCTTGAAGAGACAATTAGATTTTGTGACCTTAATATCACATCTTTCACAACAGAAACTGTGAGATCATCGATCTGTGTCTGTGATGAAATGCCTACGCTTTTAGATCTCCTTTCCTGGGCATAAATAGATAAAACTGATGCACTGTACAGGCATACAGGCGAGCATGCTTTTGATAACTGTATCCATAAAATTTTAAGACTACTGGCTAGCAGAGAAAGCAGGAGACATATTGGTGCATTTATAGAGCATGCCATACATAACACATTGATTTCCCATGTTTCTGCCTCTACACTGTGTGCTGTCTTTCTATAGTGGATGACATACAAGGTGCTGTATTAAAGATGAATAAGGATGAGGATGACAATGGATTATTAATGAGGCATAGAGTAAAGTCACCCGTCATTGTTCTGCACAAGACTGCAGTAGCTGCCTAACACAAGTCTTTGTTGATGACTGGGGTAAATTGTGAGTATGTAAATGAGTAGAAGAGATACTGTAAACGACACAGTTTGTTTATTTAGGCAAAAAAGTGTGGTTGCAGGTTTTGTTTTGCATGGTGAATTGGTGTTGCAGTGCTCACAGCATTCTTCAAAGTAATTTGCCGAGCCCATTGCGGCCGTCGTTGTTTTTAGACCACTTATCCTAGACTGGTGTGAAAGGTCTTCCATGGAGCCCAACCCAAGGCCTGTTTTGGGGATTCTGCCTTGGCATGCTTTCAGGGGCTGGGCCATTTTGTGTGCAGCTGTTTGCTCCTCCGCTAGCCTTTAGCAAATGTGGGTGTCCAACTAAGTGGCACAGTTTCAAATGAGGGCATAGGGCTGTTAACATTACCATTTGACTTTTTTTTATTGTGGTACTCTAAAACATCACACACAGCTGTTGTTAATATGACGCCACATTTTAAAAATCGATCCTCCTAAGCTGTGAGGCCCTACTGAAAGCCATGCTTAGGGGAAAATATTTTATTCACAATGGAAAATATGTTCAGCTCTTATAGGCCCTCTCAGCATGGGATTACAGTTCCTTACAGTTTTGCTGTTCACACATCTATGGCACAGGACCACAAGGACATTTAAAAAAGCTAGGACATTTTCTGACTATTTTCTTTGCCTTTCTTTTATCTACTTGTCGAGTATTACACAGGATCAAGCTAGATTCATAAAAATGTTTGTTAAATCTGCTATGTGCACAAGGCGCTTTTTACTCTTGCACTTGTTATCATTGGTTGCTTGTTATATCTAAATGCTACCATAAGCTGGCACATACAGTTTTACTCCTGTGTGTGATACAGTATCTGACTGTTTTTTTTTACCCGCCAGACAAGTGTTGTGGCAGCTCCATCCTTGACAGGCCCGTTGGAACAGTTGGACAAGCATTGTTTTTATTCCAGCACTGCCATGCCTGCCAGTATGCTACCCTCCAGTGTTTCTTATACCATGTGGTGTTAGTGTTGTAGCTTTTTTCTTATAAGATGAGTTTTTTTTCATGCGTTAAACATCTTCAAAAGCAACACAAAATGACTGGAGGGTGTGCTTGGAGCAGAGAGAGTTCATCCCACCTTTTCCCTCTTAACAAACAGCTGACTTTGGTAATGTTGCTGAGTAACCAAAGACGGCTAAGTAATAAAATGCACAGGAATACAGTATGTACTAGGGGTTTAACAGCTTGCACGGGAACCCAAGTAGCCTGCGTATGTCTATGGCCAGGCAGGCATTTGTTGAGGGAGCGATGTGGTATTTGCAGGAATGACATTAATGCAGAGGTCAAGATGGCGCTATGTTTATCTACTAACAATAAAGAATGTGGAGCAGCATGCAAAGATGATCTTTTACAACTTGGTGTCAAAACTTGTGACCTTTACTCTCATCACTAACGTGATGGAAGCAGCCAAGCAGTTTTGTCATGTTTGCCACACAAGCTCGCCAGGCTTCATTATTTCCAACATGCAAGGGAAGTTGTTATGGTAACCAATTTACAGGCTTTCAAAATAAACTGAATTGAAAATGCTTTCAAGCTCTGGAGACATTTTTGCACGACATTTTCAGTCCGTGGTATTTTTACTTCAAATGTGTGTCCGTCTTTCAAGTTTAACTATCTGGGTTCAGAGAGGGACATTTATCTCAAAGGTTTTCCCACAAGCTACAAAATCAACAACATCTTTCCTCTTTTCCTCTGACGTTTATCTCGGGTGAGCAGAGCATCCTTCTCTCTGTCCGTTTGATTCATGTGAGTCCCAAGATGACCTTATTCTATCGTGAGTGGCACAGCCTTATCTGGATAGTAATTGAGTGTACACTACAGGCTCTGGTCAGATGTTTGTTTCTTCTGCCCCACTTCTGTATATTGCATCAAATTGATGTGTGCTGTGTGTGTGTCAGCAAATAAATAAGACAAACAAAAACAAACTAAGGCCTGCACTGAAGCAACATTATTTTAGCTTCTTTGTTCTAGGTCAGTGAATATAAATCCATCAGCCCTAAGTCTTACATATACCTTATGCTGCAATGCACACATCCATTTATTATATCCGGAAGGTTGAATAGTTAGCGTGCAATCTCCAGTATCATCCCTGGCCTTAATCTTTTTGCTTTAATGTCTAATTCTCTGTATGTTCATTTTTAAACCTAAGATGAAACCATTAAATCAGGATACAAATAAAGGAAGGCTTGTCAGTCGAATAAGATGAGCTTACTGTCCCCTTTCACCTCCTCGCTAACCCCCCCCCCCCCCATCTCAAGGCTTGGATATTGTTTCTCCTAGCAGGGGAGCTGCAGTAATCTGATTTCATAACAGGAAAAGAAGAGCCAGTAATCTGACGCTGCACACAGACACTGTCTGCTTAATCCTCTGCTTCCTTTTGCAATCATAAACAAGCCTTCTCCAGTGCCCTTCAAAATGTGACACAGCAGTTCATGTTGATCTGCATCTTGTTTACAATCTTGGTTTGGCCACACCGTCGGTATCGACATCTAGAGGTGAACCAGTTGTGAATTTCTGGGCGGACATCAATGTTTTGTCTGTTTGTTTTTTGTTGTTGTTATTTAGTCCCCATTTGTTACAGGGAATTAAAGAAATCTGCATAAAAATGCATAAAAACAAAAAAATAACTGAGTTTTATAAAAATCATTAAATCATTACACTCTTTGAATGACCTCAAATTCAATCATACACATTTATGACGTAAAAAAAATATATGTATTTAAAAAAAGCATTTATACTGTATATATCAGAATTCCCTCTCTAATATCAGTTTTATATTGCTGTAAAAACACCAACAAATTTCTCCTTTAAACAACTTTATTAAAGGGAAATTTCGGTTTATTTCAACCCGTCTCCTATCGTCCTAAATTTGTTTCAAGTGACTAGTGACATAAAAATAATAGTTAGCATGTTAGCCGTTAGCCTAGATACAGCCGGGGCGCATAGTAGCGTCAGACCTGTTAAAATGTAAGTGAACGAGCATACCTTCAAGTGCAAAGTTAGTCCACTAAACAAGCCTTTTTTCCACAAAGACCGCCTCATATCGTTAGGATAAATGTCAAAGAACATATAGAAAACGACATGTA